GTACTTCTATCATCATAAACAAATCTAATAATCAAAACCCAAGCTTACCATTTCATTTCTTTCCGTTTCAAACAAAAGAAAATAATCCAAGAGTGGTTTCCAAGCAGAAAGTAGTTCAATGAAATCTTTCCTTTAATCAAAGCAATCAATTTCACCATCTCTGCCAACTCCATTAATTTCACCATCTATTCTTCCATTGCGGGTATATATATATATATATATGAGTCATTACGTCTCCACACATAGAGAAGCCTTGCTGCTGTTGTCATATATAAAAACAAAGTTCCATGAGTTTTTTTTTTAATCTGTTTGTCCATCAAACCTAAAAGAAATTTTTCTGGTTTCAATTGTAGATTCAGTTTAAGAATTCTCTTTGCCAAAAATCTATTGTTCCAATAGATCAGGGGTAGGCAACCTTGGCTCTTTTATGACTCGTGGACTTCAACTCCCAGAATTCCTGAGCCAGCTGAGTTGAAGTCCACGAGTCATAAAAGAGCCAAGGTTGCCTACCCCTGCAATAGATGAACAACTCCTTTGATTTCAACTTCATATTTTTATTGATTTGTACTCCACCTTTATTATTTTTACAAAGAACTCAAGGAGGTGAACATATCCAATTCGTCCTATTTTCTCCATAACAATAACCTTAAGAGGTAGGCTGGGCAGGGCTGGCCTGGCCTGAGAATGAATGACTGGATCTCCTGCTGTTCTTGCTCTGTTACTATTGCTTGTCCGAGATTAGAAAATCTGGTATGTGGAATGAGAAATCTTTGACATGTCAGAAGCATATCACATAAAAACACCTTGGTTCCATAATGTTATTATATATAATGAATATACAGAATTCTCTCATTCTTCCCTGTCACAGAAGGCTAAGGCTACAAAGTTGGAGGCATCCCAAAAAATATGTTAACTACAATTACTGGATATTCCTTTGGTGGTAATGATGCTTTGACACACATGATTTGATCATTATTATCATCACCATTAGCCTGCTACTGTTGTATGGTTTACTCAGCCTAAATTGCACAACATGCCCGAATAGGGTAAAATGCAATTGACTCATTTGTGATTTACATTAGTGCATGAACCCACCAATGATCCTTAAACTAACTACATACGTTGTAGAACATGCAATAGTTGGCACTACATAAATGCCAGTCAAATAAGTAAATAAACAAACAAAGAAATAAATAAGGTACTTTTATATCATAGTAGTGTTTGTCCCAAAAGTGTCCCAAAGGTGCTTTTTCAGGAGGCAACCGGACTTTTGGGGGGTTTTTTGAAGACATTTCACTTCTCATCCAAGAAGCTTCTTCAGCTCTGACTAGATCAGGGGTCTTCAAACTTGGCTCTTTTATAACTTGTGGACTTCAACTCCTCGAATTCCTCAGCCAGGCTCCCCCAATTTCTCAGCCAGCATGCCTGGCTGAGGAATTCTGGGAGTTGAAGTCCACAAGTCATAAAAGGGCCAAGTTTGAAGACCCCCTAGACTAGATGGTGGGGAGTGGAAGGATTTATATTGCTTGCAGACATATGGTCATTTGCATTCTTTTAGATAGTCATTAATCAGAGCTGAAGAAGCTTCTTGGATGAGAAGCAAAACGTCTTCAAAGAAAAAAAAACATAAAGTCCAGTTGCCTTTTGATAAAACACTTTTGGGACAGCCATGACCTGGATGACTGAGAATCTCCATAAACATATCGTAAATAGAGTTTGGTTTAGTTTTTTCCACTTGTGTGTGCAAAAAGGATGTGTTAGCCAAGAGTGCCATCTGGTGGAATCCCAGAGACTGACAGAGCACATGGAAAAACCATGTTCAAACTAACTCTGTAAAATTGTAATTTTCCTTCATTATTGCTCAGCGCGTTGTTACTCAAAACTTACCTGTCAGTGAAGTGAATTGCTTGAAACTGGGAATAAATGAAGATTCCTGCCAATATTTTGCAGACTACGTTCATCTGAGTTAGTGCCCCACCATCTTACCTTTGCTAATGTCCTGGATGAAGTTTCTTTTCAGAGGCCTCTACAATGAGAAAGGGGTATATGGCAAATCCTTCTGCCAAAGGACCCAACTTGCCTTTTAAATATTTTATCTGATTCTTTTGGGGACCATTGCTTGAACTGAAGGTTCTGCTCAAATTAATGGAACTTTTAATACTCTGGTTCTGGCCAATGTGGATATTTTGTGAGGATGTCCTAAGACAGGGATCCCCAACCCCCGGTCCAAGGACTGGCACTGATCCGCAGCATGTCAGAAACTGGTCCATGCAAACAAGTGAAGCCCCATCCACGGGATGCAGGCAGCATGTGAAACCACACCCTCCCCAGTCCACGGAAAAACCTCCCTCCACGGAACCGGTCCCTGGTGCCCAAAAGGTTGGGGGCTGCTATCCTAAGACTAACCTGTTCCTTCCTCTGTAGCACATTAAGCAAGGACCACCACCTTGGTGACTAACATTTTCAAATCTGAGTGTCAATGTACCTTATGGGCATCACATAAGGATCACATCATATAGAAACTCACTCATTGTTTATTCTGATTAATGACTCATATTATATTGGCTCTTTACTAATTATTGCTTACTGATTTTATTTTAACACTAATGTTAAAGCACTAAATTGATGATTGATCACGTCTATGTAGAGTAGCAATGTGACCGTGAAAATTTTTGCTAATTATGGTCATAAGCCATGATGGTTGTAAAACTGAGTCATACGACATGATGGTTGTAACTTTACCCCTATATGCTAAAAGTAAAAATGGCCTCAGATAAAAGCGCTGGTCCTCTACGAAGCTGTTACTTGGAAGCTGTTCTTTAAAAAAACAAACAAATCTGGAGCAACACAAGAAGAGCAATTTCCTCACCAACAGGTTGATCCCTCTTATTTTTCAGTGGCCCTGATTTGCATCTATTGGCATTAGTATTATCTTCCACTTCAGAGCACCATTAGAACGAGTGGTTTGAGATCAAGTTAGATTCGATTAATAGTCCACCTTGTTCATTGTTCTGCTTCCAAGCCACATGCAAGCGATTGCCTACATCACAAAGTTAAGATCATATCCTTCCCAAGACCATTCCAGATATAATTTGGGAGAGACCATTCAAGTCTTTTTTTCCCCCAGTGACATCATCCAGTTTCCATGAAGGAGCTACCTCAAAACACCAAAGCACTTTCAAGTGTCTTCTTCCTGAAGTAGATAATTGAAGGATCTCCTAGCTTGCCTCCCCATGACTTTCATCTTTAAGACAGGACAGCAGTCCGGAGACAAAGTTCTAGTACCTGTTAAGTATGAGTTTACGGCCAACCACAAGAGAGGGATAATCTGCACTTACGCCTGATGAAACAGATGTTTGGACATGGAATACACTTAGAAGTAGATGCTTCCCATCCCTAGTCTAGTAATGTACAGATGTGAGTCTAGGACCATCATTTTCTGATTTTTAATTTTTTTTTTTTAGAAAATGTATATGCTGCCCAACTTACTCAAGGTAACTCCAGGTGGTTATAGAAATAAAACCCTGCTACAAAACCTAATAGACCCCTGCATCCCAGGCAACAATAATCAAACCAGTCACTTGATGGGCTCCCTATCACCCTGAGTATCCAGCCCCTCTGGTAAAATCATGTCTTCAGGGTCTGTTGAAAGAGTGTCAAGGTGGGGGCCAATCTTACTTCTGCAGGGATGAGATTCCACAGGGAGCAAGCTACAACAAAGAAGGCCTTTCTTCTTACTACAACTAGATGGACTTCCTTAGGAGGGGGGACTTGTAACATCCCCTGCCTCCCCACTGTGATGGGTCAGGTAGATGTACCTGGGTAAAAAGGGTCCTTAATAATAATAATAATAATAATAATAATAATAATAATAATAATAATAATAATAATAATAATAATAATAATAATAATAATAATAAAGTTGGAAGGGACCTTGGAGGTCATCTAGTCCAACCCCTGCTCAGGCAGGAAACCCTACACCATTTCGGACAAATGGCTGTCCAGTTTCTTCTTAAAAACTTCCAGTGTTGGAGCATTCACCGCTTCTGGAGGCAGGTTGTTCCACTGGTTAATTGTTCTAACTGTCAGGAAGTTTCTCCTTAGTTCTAGGTTGCTTCTCTCCTTGATTAGTTTCCACCCGTTGCTTCTTGTCCTGCCTTCAGGCACCTTGGAGAATAGCTTGACTCCCTCTTCTTTGTGGCAGCCCCTGAGATATTGAAACACTGCTATCATGTCCCCCCTCATCCTTCTCTTCATTAAACTAGACATACCCAATTCCAGCAGCCGTTCCTTATGTTTTAGCCTCCAGTCCCCTAATAATCTTTGTTGCTCTTCTCTGTACTCTTTCTAGAATCTCAACATCTTTTTTACATCGTGGTGACCAAAACTGGATGCAGTATTCCAAGTGTGGCCTTACCAAGGCATTGTAAAGTGGTAGTAATACTTCACGTGATCTCGATTCTATCCTTCTGTTAATGCAGCCCAGCACTGTGTTGGCCTTTTTGGCAGCTGCAGCACACTGCTGGCTCATATTTAAGTGATTGTCCACTAGGACTCCGAGGTCCCTCTCACAGTTACTATTATTGAGCAAGGTACCCCCTATACTATACCTGTACATTTGGTAGATGTACCTGGGTAAAAAGGGTCCTTCTAACAACTGGCCTCAGGCCATGTAGGGCTTTAAATGTGGCAACCAGCACCTTGAATTGGACCTGGAAGCAAATCAGCTATCCATGCAGCTCTCACAAGAGAGGAGATATGTGTGCAAATCTAGACGTGCACAAAACCGTGTGTGCAGCTCCATTTTGAACCAATCGAAGCTTCCGGATACTACATCTTTTATATGTTGTTACTGAATTGTTTCTCCAATTTGAATCATTGTGAAACCTGTGTCCCAGTATGCTGAATGTACCAAACTTGATTTAGTTTCAACAAGTTGGCGGCATCATATGCTCCGAGATCAATAAAAGTGCCAACCTTTTTTGTTAAATATATATTTATTTATTTATTGTGGATATTGAAATGCAGGATGATAGTAAGGTAAAAGATGCAGTGATTGAAGAGAGAAAATGGCAAAGTATTGTCAGAGAATTGGAAGACCCTTCATTGACAATTATGTACAACAAAGCAATTCAAGCGAGAAAAATGCTTAGAAAGGGGAAAAAGCCACTGGAAAAGTGTAGCCATTGTTAGGAGAACAAGTAAACAGGTTCTTTTACACCAAAGGGAAAAAAAATCTTGTTTTAACAGAAAAGATAATTATTTAGTTATCGTGTACAATAAAATGCTTATGAAACAATAGTCTCTTAAAGACATTATTCTATGTCTTCAGTGCTGGAGGGCAGTTATTTCAACTTGGACTGCTTTCCTTTCTATCCAGTGCTTGCAGCAGGAGCTCCATCATCTGAGAGAAGAGGGGGAAAAAGAAGAATTGTTGGAGAACCATCATGTCTGACAAAGCATGTGCTTAATTCGTATGGATATTTGCAACAGGTCTTTTTGTGCATGCTATTTCACACTCTTTAATGTGGGGTGGACAGATGAGGATGGCAAAGAGCCCTCAATCACAAAAGAAGTAGACCCTGAAGACCACATTTCTGTCCATCAGATGATCAGGTAAACAAGGTAAGTCAGGATGTTACCCCCCAGCACTTGGAGCGAAGCTGAGCGATGTAGCGTCTAGCAACATCTAACAATGGAAAGCATCTTCTTTACATCCAGAGCAGCAAGCTAGTTGAGGAGGCTTAGGACGTGCACAACACTATCCATCAGGCAGACAAGCACTGGACACCGCTTACAGTTGTCCCCAGCTTCTGCTGCCTAGTTCAGGGCTTTTCAACCTTTTCACCCATTGTACCACTTTTAGGATATGGCAATATCCGAGTACCACCAGTCGCCTAGCAAGGTGTCAAAAACTTGATGACCAAAAAGAAAAATAGTGGGGATGGGGTGGGGGTGTTTGGTTTTTATTCCCTCCCGTCTGCCGGCTGGTTGCAGCAGGTTTTGGTCACTTCACATGACCCTGGGACACTGTGACCATCACAAATATGAATCAGTTGCTAAGCATCTGAATGTAAATCACAATACCCTGGGGATGCTGCAACATTCCAGCTGATCGGCACTTCTTCTGGGCTCAGCAGAAGCGCCAGGATCAGTGCTGCTTTCCAGCTGATTGGTGCTTCAGGGCTCAGCAGAAGTACCAGGATGAGCGCCGAGCTCCAGCTGGAGCCTGGCACTGATCCTGGCGCTTCCACTGAGCCCTGACAGTCTCGAAGAAGCGCCGATCAGCTGGAAAGCAGCACTGATCCTGGCGCTTCCGCTGAGCCCTGATATCTCTGCAGCTCCAGCCATCTCTCCCTTAGGCTTGTGTGGTGCTGCCACTGGTTCAGCTCATTCCCCTCCCCCGCTACCACTTTTCTAGGATGGTTGCGTACCACCTGCCAGGTGCCAATGTACCACAGGTGGTACCCGTACCACTGGTTGAAAAGCCCTGAACTAGTTCCACTGGCAGGGAACTGATTGCTGATGAGCAAATTTACTAAGATCAGTGTGTTTCTGAACTCAAGAATGAGAAATCTTCTTGAGGTTTCAATAGTCACAGGGTTATGAACGCCTCTCTCCCCTCATAATACACACACTACACCAGGATGTGCAGGACGTTTAAAGAAACCACAAGTCTCCTCTTTCCCAGTGATGTGTTTGGGAGTTGCTGGTTTCCTATCCTAGCAATGAATGCTTGTCAGGTGTTTCTCTTCTTCGGAACATCTCAAAGGAGGAAGATAAGTAGCCTCCTTTCAGCTGATGTATTACTATCATTAGCACAAAATATCCTCTCTAATTCCTCGCTATCCTTCCCATGTTCTGATCACAGATTGCCTTTTGTCGTGAAACAAACTAAGAAGTAAGTTAATAAAAAGGAGCATTTTGTGAGTGTAAGAACAGCCCTGGAGACGTATATGTGTTTATAAATCAGAAGGATACTGACAGAACCTTTTCACACCAACAAATTTTGGTAAAACTCAGCTCACAAAAAGCCTGTGCCCTTCAACACAATCTTTTATTCTGAAAAAAGTGTTCCCTGGTTCCTTCTGAATTTTGGATCAGCCAGGCTATCCAAACTATCCAACCCAGCTGTCCTCCTACAATGCGTCATATTTATGTATCTCTATACACTCCCCACCACAGATAACTTTGATTGAAAGCAATTGGCTTATATATAAAAATATATTCCTAGTTTTTCAGTCCGTTCCCCTGGCATTTACCCTAGATGACTTCCTAGATTTCATATTATTTCGTAATGTAAGAAAGGTCCTCAGGGCAGTTAACAGAATATGAGACCTCATCAGAAGCTCAGCATGAGGTCTAAGAAAAGCATTTTTCATGCACAGGAACTTCCAATGAATGTCAAAGAAATCCTAGAGCAAAGTTAGAAGAAGGAAGGAAGGAAGGAAGGAAGGAAGGAAGGAAGGAAGGAAGGAAGGAAGGAAGGAAGGAAGGAAGGAAGGAAGGAAGGAAGGAAGGAGCTAATGGAAAATATGTTTGTGGGTGTGGAATACAAACAGTTCATGCAAATGCACAAGGCTTGTCTTATAATGGATCTAAGAGTTTGTCCCCTTGCCAAATCTTGTCTGTAGTACCTAAGAGAAGGTCCTTAAGATTTATGACATGTCTCTTGCAGAAAGCTGATCTAACCCTTTTCTAACAAGGGGTTATTGAGAGAAGAGTGGTGATAACCTCTGATGTACTTTATGCAGCATTTCAAGAGCCTTTTTATCTTTTTTAGTGTTGCAACTATGCCTCGGTGACTCCATTGCATGTGCTTGCATCACTCACCGCAGTCCTCTTAGGAAAAGGAATGATGTAACTTCACAATGCACCTATTTAAATATGTACTCATGAAAAGATTCTCCTATACAAATTTCAAATATTAGCTATTTTTTAAAAAAGTGTCCTTTATGGAGTGTTAACATTATGTGGATGGAACTAACTGGGGAAGACCTCCACGCTATCTCCACTTCAAATGATCTCAAGCTGGAACCCAATTTGATATCCTGGAGATGATGCTGAACTAGTATTCAATCATCCAGGCAAAGCATTTTTACAGCTTCCCCTTTAGAGTTTTTCGGATTCAATTCCCAAGTTCTTTTGGTTATTGTTTCCCCCCCCCCAAACAAATATGATATTTGGAAATCTAATTGCAAAGATCGATGTCTCAATCTAATCTTGCTTTTAGAGAAGCCCAAAGCAGCAGTTACGTCACACAATTCCAATCTGTTGAGTTACTAGAGAATAAATGCCTGTTTCAACCTTCCTTCTCTCTCTAACATGGAATGCTTGGCAAGAGATATCTGTTTTGATAGGAACTCTATGGGACTTTATTGGCATGTGGGAAGTCAATGAGAACAGGACAATGAAAGAAGGACTGTGAAGTCCTACCTAGGTGCTCTCTGAGTTTAGTTGTTTGCTTGCAGACTAGACAATGATTAGGTAATGTTATCAGTGCAGTAACATCATCAAGAAAGGACATTTATAAGTCTTGGTCACCTTGCCACTAAGTAAGTAGATATAGGACACTTTTTCTAGGTCACTCTTCCTATGAAAATTTCTCTGCAATCTGTCTCTCTTAAGAGTGAATTCCTAAAGCAAATTTGTATGAATTTGAATGTGGACTGGTAGGGGGGAAAAAAAGAGCAGACATTTCATTACCCAGCTGGATAATGTCATCAGTGCAGTATTTTCATTTCTTTAAATCTTTCCCTCCTAAGAAAGAACCCCCAAAGCAAATTTTCATTCATCTGAATGAGAATTAACAGGAGCAAAAAAAAAAAAAAAAGCAGGTTTCTGCTTGGCAGACATTTTCACAGCAAGCAAATGGAACAGTAGAGCATTAAGCATTAAATAACTAGAATGCAAAGAGTATCTGATGGGGTTATGGAAACCCCACTTACATCTTTGAAGCTGCCGGTTTCCTCTGTCCCCCAATTGTTCTTGGAAGAAAATGGCATCTCTTCCCGGAGAACCTGAGTATTTTGATTCTCCTCCTCTTCCATACGTTTGAGCAGCTCCTTGAAGGATTCATCCTGCTGCAAATAGCTGCCCAGCTGTTTGGCATTTTCTAGCAGCAAAGAGAGGGGCATCCGTTGACCTTCTTCATATATGTAAGGAAAATCTCCAGTACTCTTTTTCCCCATGAAGTGACCTGCAAGAAGAAAGAATGTGCCATGAAATTAGTGTCAATGAGGATATGTGGATGCCTGGATCTGGAGACCATGGCATCCACATTGGCTGGCTTGGAACAGTTCAGGAGAATTATTGAAGCTCTCATGATGTCTTCTCTATTCTGTTCTTCTGTGGAAATGTCAAATAGGGTAAAGGGCACAGTCATCTGTCTGGCAATAACCACACTTTCCTTTAAGCAAGGAAAAACTTTCTAGACCTCACAAACACCACATGGACATAGGTGATGCTCAGTTACAGCTCAGCAGCCAAAACAGAGGCTTGTATGCTCTACACAGCTCCACTGGCACTTTCCATGACAAGCAGAAGAGGAACACAATTGTGATAAATAGGCAACATTCTTTTGATTATGTCTGCCATAGAATTCACCTTTTCTTGATAGGCAATCTATTTTCATGGACAATATGTTTGTGATCTTTGCTTTAATATAGACAAATGATGCTTCTAATCTCAGTTAGGCTTGCCAGCGAAATAAATTCCTAGTGGAAAATTTCTGATCCTTATGCAGAAGAAGGAAAAAAAGGGTAGTTCTAACAATATTTAGAGAATGGGATATCTCTATCTCTAGCTCATAGCTCTTTTTTTTCCTGAATCTTCTTCCTTACTTTTCTTCTTCCCAGACTACTGCCCTTCCCTAAGACACTTTTATTACAAACAAACAAAATTTCAATTAGCAATTGGAAAGAGTATTTTAGTGAAGAATTTGCTTCCAAATCTCCAGGAATTCTGTCCACTAGTCCAGGCAAATCTCATTCATTTTATGTTTTTGAATTAATTTTATCATTGGAGACAGCAGAGGGTGCCACCACTGACAGATTTCTGATGTGCATCTTTACTGTTTTTATGTGGAGGTATTCCATTGTGTTTCTTTTCATCCTTCTGATGCCTCCTTGGCTGCCCAAACTTTTAAAAGCCCAAGGGACAAGCTCGTCCACCTCATCTTCCTTTGGGATTTAAAGGAAAATTGGGACGCCAGGGAGACATGGATGTGGAGTTTTACAGACATACCTCAGAAACTGGGAAGGGTGGTGGTGGGGAAACTGGAAGCAAATGGAAAGCCACAGCACGGGTGCTCTCTAAGGTAAGTGACTGGGGTGGGTGGGTGGGCTAGAGATAGCCCACTTTTTGAAGATTGGGGCCAGATACAGAAAGCTTCCCTAGTCTGTCTAGTTTAATGAAAAGAAGGACGAGGGGGGAACATGATAGCAGTGTTCCAATATCTCAGGGGTTGCCACAAAGAAGAGGGGGTCAAGCTATTCTTAAATAAATAAAATAAAAATAAAAATAAGCTATTCTCCAAAGCACCTGAAGGCAGGACAAGAAGCAACGGGTGGAAACTAATCAAGGAGAGAAGCAACCTAGAACTAAGGAGAAACTTCCTGACAGTTAGAACAATTAACCAGTGGAACAACCTGCCTCCAGAAGCAGTGAATGCTCCAACACTGGAAGTTTTAAAGAAGAGATCAGACAACCATTTGTCTGAAATGGGATAGATAGGCCAGGGGTAGGCAACCTTGGCTCTTTTATGACTCGTGGACTTCAACTCCCAGAATTCCTGAGCCAGCCATGCTGGCTCAGGAATTCTGGGAGTTGAAGTCCACGAGTCATAAAAGAGCCAAGGTTGCCTACCCCTGGGATAGGCTTTCCAGCAAGGGGTTGGACTAGAAGACCTCCGAGGTCCCTTCCAACTCTGATATTCTGACTGGCATCCTGGCTAATTTTCCCAAGCAGGTGCTGACCCTGGGAAAGTAGGGTCCCAGCCCACCGGATGGCATCTCCAAGTCCCGCCAGCAACCCTTTCCTGTACTCAAAACCTAGTTTTCCAAGATGCCTGCGCGGTTAGTTTCCTCGCCCTCTGCCCAAGGAAGGCTGGAAGGACCTCGGGACAGAGCCCTGCGTTTTGGAAACGAGCGCCCTGGCCAAGGAAGCCTCCCGGGGAAGCCCAGCCAGAGCGCTGGGGGGGGGACCCTCACTCACCCACGGCCCAGTGGCTCCCTCGGGGGTAGATCTTGGCCATCGGGGACGCTCCGTCGACGCCCTGCAAAGAAGCCGCGCGCCCGCCGCGCCCTTGCAGGAGCAGCGCGAAGGCGACGAGAGCCAGGAGCGGGAAGAGCTGCCCGCGGGGCTTCGGCAGGAGCTGCAAGGTCTCCCTCGGGCGGGCCATCGGTGCAAGCGGAGGTTTTCGCGGGGCAGAGTCCGCCGAGCGCTCGGTCGAGGAGGCGAGAGTAGCAGCGATGCCAACCTTACGGAGCCTGAGCGCGGCGCTGCTCCGTCTCGCCTGCTGACCCGCTTTATATGCCGGCGGGGGGCGAAGTGTCAGCAAAGGTCAGGCACGTGACGCTGCTCCCCCCTCCCCCACCCACCCGCCCTCTCCCCGGGAGGGCCCTCGAGGTTCTGGGGGCCGCGTGGCGCGCCTCCCTCTTCCTGATTGGCTGGCTGGCTGGCCCGGCGAGCAGCAGCCGAGCCCCCCCCNTCCATCCCGGCCGTCCCGCTTCCAGTCTGGCTCCGAGCCTTTCTCCCGCCGGTGGCCGTGAGGCGAAGTCGCCCCGCTCGACGGGCAAGGCGAGGAAAGGAATGGGGAGCCTTCCCGGAGTTTCTAGCCGCGACGCCGACGGCTCTTCTCGGCAGCTCAGACTGCCAAGCTGTACGGGCTGCCGTGTTTGCAAGCCCTGGGCTGAAGCTATGCGGGCTCCAGGGAGGCTCTCCAGGGCGAGCGTAGAGTTGCCAGGGGTCCACTATTTGAGCGGACAGTCCGCTTTTTTCACATTATGTTCACTATTTTTTTTCCCCACAAAATAGTGGACATTTGTTTTTATTCAAAAGCTAGCTTTATGATGAAATGGTGCGTAATCTAAAGCTGTACGGTCTTAAGAGAATAAGGATAGGAGAATCGCGTTTTGTCTTTTTTTTTTTTCCCCTAAGTTAGAATGAGACAAAGATCGAATATCCGTTGAACTCGATTCTTCGAAAAAATTATTAATCCTACTCAATTGTTTCACAAGGCATTTAATAAAAGTGTATAAAATGATTTACATGCTATTTTTCTTAGCTCGCCTTTACCTATTATTTTTATATTATACTTTTTTCTTCGTTGGATAGGTATGTTTTGGAACGCTCAGTAATGTATCATCATTTGAGGTTCAATGAGTACTAGCCTCAATGTGTAGAGCGCGAGAGTGTCGACTGACCTAAAATGGCGTCGAGCGATGAGAGTGACAGCGGCGAGATTTCGAATTTTTAAGTAAAGTTTTGAAGTGATTATTTTAATCCGTGTTAAAATGTTTGTAAGAAAATATATAATTTAATTGTAAATTTTTTTTTTTACTTTTTTTACTACTTAACCCACCCACCCCGCTTGTCCGCTATTTTTTGGAAGCAGACCTGGCAACCCTAGGGAGAGGACACAGTTGGGTTCCAAAATCAGAGCGAGGGGGAGGATGCCTGAAGCCTCATCCTAGCCCTGGAGAACTGCAGTAGAGGAAGCCGAAGGCAACCTGTAAACCAGGAATCCTGGCTAACTAGACCTCCACATCTGTAAATGTGGTCACAGCTCTGCAATGGCAGACTCTCTCCTAGATGGTCAGTGCGCCTTTCGGCAAGTGCCAAGTGGTATCCCACTGTCATCTATACAAGAACAGTAATAGTGTATTATTATTATTTATGCATCTAAATTTAGGTATTACTGAAAGATGTAGAGATTCTGGAAAGAGTGCACAGAAGAGCAACAAAGATGACTAGGGAATTGGAAGCCAAAACATATGAAGAACGGTTGCAGGAATTGGGTAAGTCTAGTTTAATGAAGAGAAGGACGAGGAGGGACATGATAGCAGTCTTCCAATATCTGAGGGGCTGCCACAAAGAAGAGGGGGAGGGTCAAGCTATTCTCCAAAGCGCCTGAAGGCAGGACACAAAGTAATGGATGGAAACTAATCAAGGAAAGAAGTAAACTAGAATGAAAGAGAAATTTCCTCATAATGAAAACAATAATCAGTAGTACAACTTGCCTTCAGAAGTTGTGGGTGCTCCAACACTGGAGGTTTTTAAGAAGAGATTGGACAACCACTTGTCTGAAATGGTTTGGGTTTCCTGCTTGACCAGGGGGTTGGACTAGATGACCCCCAAGGTCCCTTCCAACATCATCATCATCATCATCATCATCATCATTATTACTACTACTACTACTACTACTACTATTATTATTATTATTATTATTATTATTATTATTATTATTATTATTATTATTATTATTATTATTCCTTCCAACTCTGTTATTCATTATACCTACCTGCTCCCATAGATTCTGGCATGCTCATCAATACCAATACATAACAGTTTAAAACATACAACACATTAAGACTTGCAGACACCGCCTGGCCTCCTTTCCACCCTCAGACATTTCAGATTGGCAGCAATCAGTAAGTGGTGTCCCCAAGTGGCAGAACTAGCAAGGGGAAGGCTCCCTGGATGAAGTTCCAGAGATGTGCTATCAAGCGGGATTCACATTGTGCTGGTGAAACCACAATCTTGACTCACCTCAAGACTACTTTATTTATTCTTGGAAGACATGTGTTCCATCCCACAGTAATGGTTCTCGTGGTTATTTTCACCCTGAACGTTGTGCCCTTATGTTTGCCAAGGATGTACCCTACTGAATTGCCACCTTTCAAAATAATTTATTTGAATCGGGCACAATTTGGACTGCAATCTGCATTTCATGATAGTATCTTCCTTGCCCGTTCCTTTTCTCCATCAAGGGTCTCGTTAGAAGCCCCTGATACTTTCTGATTAGAAATACGGACGGTGTATTCCCTCACCACCTGTCCTTCATTCATACCGTATCCCCTGTTTTCATTCAACAAGCTCGTTTTACAAAGCAGGGATCGCTGAAAGTGAAACGTGGTCGACTGTGTCTAAAGGAAAGTCCCTTCTCCCCCCTCCCCCCCGCATTTCAGAAGCCTCTCCCTTCATCAATAAAGTGGGAATCTTTGTTTTCCCCCTGTGGTTGGAGAGACTTGATAAGACCCGGGACAGCCGTCCCCTTATCAAAGCAGGGGAAGGGGCTTTTTATTTGTGGAGTTTCTGGCACTGATAACTAGATATTCTTGCCTCTGATTGATAGAGCCCTCTGGCTCCCTTATTGTAGTGGGCAACTTTAGATATGCCTGCAGCCCTGGTGAGATAGTGGGGAACACTCCGGCAATCACCCACCAAACAGTCTGTTGATACCCAACGCTATCCAGTTTTCTAAATGCATCTTTTATTTTTATGGTCCCCTTCCCCCCCCCCCCCCAACACATGCCTCTTTCTGCACGCAAACCCACCACACTTTGCTCTGAAAAAGAATGGAGGGGGAGAGGCTGACTATCTTTGCTACACACACTGTTTCCCTTCTTAAATCTGGACTGCCAGCTTCTGATCTGAATGTGGCCGGGTGCCAGAGTTCTACAAAGTGGATACCCAGCACATCTGTTCCAGTCTAGGGTTGATGGGTTGTGCCTGCAACTTTGGAACTGTCCTAGGTACATAAAGCATCTTATTTATCCTAACAGTGCCCGTTTTATTTTCTCACTACTTAGTGAGTATGAAGTATATTGTGTCTATTTCTGGTTGGAGTGCTTATTAGCTGTTTTCCTTCCAAATTCTGGAAGCTGTGAGAATTTTCATTTCTGTTTTTCTCATGTTATTAAAATACATGTCATCTGCACGAAGCAGATGCTACTTCAGGTTGATCTCATATAGGATAACATTCTGATGCCATATTAGGATGTCAGCTTTACAGTTCGCAGAGAGAGAATGAATTTCTTCTCCCATTTCTATCTCTATCTTTTACTCACCCCAAATCTGCTACAAAACATTAGGGTTCCTCAGAATCAGATTTGGGACACAAAGTGAATATGATGTGGGATGTGAGACATGATCTCCCTTGATTAAATGTTTTGAAAATTAAAATACCCTACAAAAGCTTATAATAAATGTTGTCATTCTACCCTGAACAAAGTATGAATAGACAGGTATGCAAAATTACTTTTGTACTTATCACAGTCATTCATTTCCTCTTAGAAGGCTTATGTGCAGTATATAGAATCAAGTCAATGAAAAATGTTAGCGCATTGTCAAAAATGTATCTGTGTTCCTTTGTGACAATTGTTCAAAATATGTTCATATCCAAAGGCAAGCACTCTGAATTTTGACTCAGCTTAATCCCTAGTTTTAACAATAAGTCACACCAGCTGCATGGATCAGGAAGACAATAGTCTGTTTAAATATCTATAATCACATTGCCTCCAAATACTTCCATTTTTCCCTTTATATTTCAAATAAATAAGATTTGTTTGCTATTAAGGAAAAACTTAAAAAGTAAGATAAAGTATCAAGTTTTTATACATGTATAATATTTTAAATTTACCCAGTAAAAAGTTTTCTGGTAGCTTTAAGCTAAAAGAATATAAAGACAAAAAATAATAACAATAATTAGCGCACTTTCTGTGTCTTTCTCACATAAAGGATTCTATACAAATATTTAAAGGTGTCCATATCTCCCACCGGTATGTGACTGTTTACATTATTGAAATAAATGTTGAATCTATAATGTAAAATTGTAGATATACTTTGACTTTAGGCTACATGATCAGAAATATTGATTCCATGTCATGAATCCACTCTGTATACAAATTGCATTCACCAGATTTTAAGAAAGATTCAGAGAAATTAGAACTGATGAAGGGAAGAGCAGTGAGGGTAATCAGAAAGTTAGAAATGATTTTTTTGTAAGGAGAGGATGGGAGGGGAGGGAAGGCATTTGGGTTTAAAATTTTGCCAAGAATTTAGAAAGTGATTCATTTCTCTAACTCAGACATGTCAAACACAAGGCCCGGGGGCCGGATGGGGCCAGCGAAGTGGTTTCATGTGGCCCACGAAGCCATCCTGGAAACAGTGAGGGAACGGCCCCCACTGCCTTGGCCCTGGCCCAGGCCGGCCGGGAGCCAATGTACAATTTTGTGGTGGCCATCTATGCTGAAACGCATTCAGTCTTAGCTCCACAAGGCCGTCTAGAAATAGCGAGGAACCAGCCCCTGCCGTGTCGGCCCCGCCCCCTGGGTGCATGCTGGGGAGGTGTCACCCTTTGTAGGAATGAAGAAATGGACCATGCCTTGGCGCTTGCCCCGATCCCACCTCCTTCTGCCAGAGACCCTCAGATCTGTCCCACTCCTGCCCAGGCCCCCACAGGCACCTTTGACACGAACGATGTAG